TTCTGCAGCCTCAGTCAAAGATCGGTCCGATAAGTGAATACGGTGTTGGTCTGCCTCGACGCAGAAATTGTAACAATTTGTTCCAATAGTTATGTCTAAAGCTTTTATAACTTTCATTAGGCTGCTAATACCTCAGCAAATTGCTGTAAACGACCGGTACGAGAATTTTTATGGCCATGAGACATTTTTTTCTTATTCTAGAGGGTTTAAGGAAGATTTTAAGCTAATAAAAAAAGAAATCGATTTTTTTTAAGTCGCAAGGTGGTGTTATCCCTTAAACGTTACGTCCCGGGGTTCTTTCGGCGGGTAACCGAGGTTCGAATTAACCCGAGACTATTACGGTAGTATGAAGGTAAAATTTGAGGGAGCTCTCGGCTGTCAATCCGTTTGCTCCCTTACACGCAGTAAATAATGGATAGTGCAAATAATAGTTCCTCACGCCCGGGTTCTCGGATGGCCCGGGCACTGCGTGCGAGATGTGCGAATGCGAACTCCGCAAATGCGGGAGCGCCGGAGGGAACTGTAGCTGGCTCTGCGCGCAATAATGTGGCTGAACACGGCAGCCAAGACCCGTCAGTGACTTGCGAGCACTGCGGGCGAGCATTTCGGACCAAGCGTGGCCTGGGGGTTCACGTTGCTCATGCCCACCCTGTAGAGGCTAACGCGGCGGTTGTGGTTGATCGCGTAAAGGCCAGATGGTCAGCGGAGGAAGTTCGTCTCATGGCTCGTGCTGAGGCTACAGCCACCTCAGCCGGGGGAGTACTGTTCATGAATCAACATCTTCTGGACGTATTCCCGCATAGGAGTCTCGAAGCCATTAAGGGTAAGCGTCGACAGGAGGCTTATCGCGAGATGGTTAGAGGCTTCTGCCAGGAGATCCAGTCGCATGCGACTGTGATCGATGAGGGCAATGGGACCGATGCGGCGATGATAGGAGCTGCCGGTATCCCAGAGACCATGGAGATGACAGTTAGTAACAGTGCACATCAGTCCTCACCCCGGTAGGCCGTTGACATAGCGAGAGTGGCATTGGAGTCCGGTGAAGTGGATGTCCCGGCCATCGAGAGATGGTTGGCTCGGATCTTCCCGTCTCTTGCTGTGCACCCTCCGCAGCGTGTGTCGGCCAGGCGTCGCAGTCCTCCTAACAAACGAGAGAATAGAGAGCAGAGGAGGAAGAGAGAATTTGCACACGTGTAATCTCTCTATAAGAAAAATCTCAGGACCTGTCTTTCGCACATACTCGAAGGAGGCTCCGTCCGCAAATGCCCGTCCTCTGTCGAATTCCGTGAGTACTGGCGCCCCATTATGGAGGCGACCGGGGAAGCGGATGGAGATATGACGGGATTGCGAGAACGATACGGAGAGGCGAGACAGGCGGCGAGTGTTAGGCGGAGCCATCCGTCGAGAGTCAGAGGGATTCATCTCGAAGGCCTCGATGAGGGCGCCGCCGTG